TTGAGAGTAACATTTTTTTTACAATAAACCCCTGGACTATTATAAAACAAATTGAAAAAATTGTAATGTTTCTGCTGTCTGGAATGTGTAATAGCAATATAAATATTGAACATTAGGTAACTTTAGTTTGATACGCAGCTAACGTGGGACAAATTTTCGCTTTTTTTAAAAATAAAATAGCTTTTTTATAGCTATAAATCATCCTATATCTAATTTTACTACACATTACAAAAAAAAAATCAACTTTATGTAATCTAGGTAACTGAAAAAAAAACTAACATCGTTGCATCTTTGTCACGATAAATACTTGAGTCATGAATAAATTAAAAACAAAAAATTTCAAAATGCTGTTCAGTATTGTTATAATCTTAGAATTAATTTATGATAACAAATATTGGAGGTTTCAAAGTTTTGACACTGTCATCAGATATGCCGTACTTGAGTGTATATCGTAGACAGATGATTTTGTTTTCAAGGTGAGAAAAATATTGATTTATAGCTTTGGAAAAACTAAAAATATAGCTGCTCAGATTACTTACAAAAATTCGAGGTACATTCTCAGTTTTATTTTGACAAAAAAAATAATTGCTAAATCCAAAGAGCCATAACTGGAAATATGAGAAGATAGCTTTACCTACTGTAGCTTCGACAACTGTTGAAATTATGCGCAATATGCTCAGACATTTATTTGGAGAGGCGAATATTGTACAAATGTACATTTTTTTAGTGTCTATAAAAGTTTTGTAAAAATTCAAAGCCAAAACTAATGTGTGGATTTCTCACGAAATCACCACTAAAAAAAAGCTATAATCGAGTTATAATGGCGCCGCACAACAAACTTATACACCGGTGTATATACTGTTATGCGAAGGTACTTAGGTATAAATGTTCTTCTGTTATTTTTAATAAAAAAAATAGTGCTCGAGGGGAAGGTCTGAATTTTGAAATTGCTAGACATGATAGGTCTGCCGGAAGACACTGACGACAAAATATGAATTGTATTTAAACGCTATAAGGCAAAAAAAAATAACCATCATAGTTACAAAGCGACGATTACCTGCACTGGTTGACATTTGCCACGACAAGAGACAAATAATATAATAACTAGTATTATATGATAAATAATACACATTGGCCTACTGGGATTATGCTAATTTCCAACGTGGTTACCTCTGAACTGTTAAACCATGTGTTCGGCGAATAATTATTACTATAATCCGATTCCCGAAAATTAAGCTGATGTTGAAAGGTTTCCGCTAGTCAAATTTCTAATTATTAACCGCAGTAGACCCAATTTCGGTACATTTATCCAACACCGTGAAACGCATTTGTTTATTAATAACGGTTTAATCGTCCGTATGTTAATTTTAAGTGAAAAGTAATTCCAACAATGCCTGTACATGTTAGGTTATTTCGTAGTTTAACGATTTGTAGTACTGTGGTCAGTATACAGTTTAAAATTTGAAATTTATTTGATTGGAAAAATATAATCGGTACAAACACGAATAGATAATATATTTATAAATTGAGAAGAAAATCTTGAATGTGTACTAAAATCGCTATTCGTGTAATACTTGTTGTATAATATCGAAACATTAACATATTTGAGCACCGTCAAAGGCAATACGATACCTAATTTTAAAGCTTTAAACTTAAGTCGGTCTTAATGAAAGTTGCTGGCCACAGCAACTCGCTGCGGGGTAAAAGCGATCCGGTATAATGGAAAACTTTATGGTAAACCTCGTGTGATTTCCCAAGACGTATGCACGCTCACGACCATGTCCACGATAGTCATGCTTTTTCATAAATTGCTTAGACCAACAAAACTTGTACTCAAGTCTGGGTCTCCCGAGTTTCTCACGTGATCGTCATCGATACCGTTACTGTATAATATATTTGATGAAAATAATTATTCATTGATTTTGGGGTGTTCCATTTAATTTAGTACATAGATTATTAACACAGCGAAGCAGGGTCTTCTTTTTTTTAGGTGCTTTTATTTAGTAATAAAAAAACCATTATCCGTATTTAAACAGCTGCAGACTGTTGCCCGGTTGCACGACCGTTCAATGAATTGTGTAACAGATCATTAAATATTTAATGGGTCTTAAAATTTAGAGGTCCGCGATTGGTCCATTTAATTATAATGAATTAATCATCATTTATCAGTATTTCGTGGACACCGTCATCAGCATCAACTAAAATACAGTTAAGTTTCCACAACGGTCATGTGTTATAAACTAGACGATTAAACACCGCGCAGTGACCAGATTATCGGGATACAAATTCTAAAGTGTAACGTTGGATTAGGTTTAAGTATTGACCATGTACTCGCGGCTGTATAGAACATTTTAAACCGACTAATAATTGTGTTGTTAAGACCAAAAGGTAGAGGCAGAGGTAAGCCGTAGAATAGTGCCAAAAGATAGTTAAGTGTCCAAAAAATGCAATTTTAATCATAAATTCAAACATCAAACAAATATTGTGTTTGTAATATTTTCGCTTAACTTTTAGACATTTTTTGCACTATAACTTAAAATATGCGATGGGCCTCAAGTAGTTATTAGACCGTCGAGTCCAGACAATTGTATCTTCTTTAAATGGTATACTATTAAACGTACTTAGGTACATACATACAACGATTATGAGTTTGAGAAACGAATAATGTTGTATAATATATTATCATTATTATATATGTACCAAATGGGTGTGACATGAGTGTTTTGGATATTGATATGGCGGCCTATGGGGACGAATATGTTTTGAAAACGTCGCGCACTCCCAAGTGTTCTTATGAGAGTTTAACTCGGCGGTCCAATTTCCCTAGGTTTTCCTCTGTGCTCGTGTTTGGCCGGCCAAATGGGCCTCGAGGGGTTAGGTGTTAAACCTACCAATCGAAAGTACACGCCTATCTATATACAACACCACGAAAAACAAAAACAATTGTCAATGTTTGTGGGTAAGCCGGAAAATATGTGTGTAAACGGGGCGACCGGTCGACCACCGATCGAATAACCGGAGTACAAAAGCAAAGCATTAATAAATGTTTTGACAGCAGTAATCTGGCAGTCGATATAGGGATATCGCGTTGCCATTTCGTTTGTTTTCACACCACATTATTATACGTGGACCGCGAACGGTGGTTTACCACCTATAAAGCACAGGGCCCGTTTTAAAAACGCTGTCGGCGAGCAAAATCAAAATAGGACAGTCGGACGACAATAATTATTATTTAGGTATAACAAAATTAAAGCATTAATCATTGACTGCATATTCGAGCGGCTCATGCGAGCCCACAGCGCACAGCGTTTGGATCAATAACAATTATTATTATGGTCGTGTCAAAACAATAGAATTATGTGTAATTTATAAGCGGGGGAGGGGGCGGGGACAGCGGCTTGAATATAAAACATCTCAGTGGACACATTAGCCTCACTTAATTAATCAATTATCATATTATACCTAGGGTGTAAACCCAACCTATACGGCCACCACTTTAAGCAGTTGGTAAACTTCAATTTTACTCTATTTTTTTTCAATATAGATAATTTACTTAACGTTCCAAAAGTCCCTAATTATCCCGGGCATTTAAAAATGTATTTTGATTGAAATAGCTAATGTTATTAGCTAAAAGCATTTGCGAAGAAAAACAATTTTTAAAGTGGAATCCACTAATGTAAAAATAAAATAGAATTGATTTTATCTTTAATTTTATTATCTTGAGTACATACTTTGAGCGTTAACGGATTTTATGTTTGACATTAAATATAATAAAATTACCAAATTTATTTCTACAATACAAGACTTTGATTCTTAGTTAAGTGCTTTTACGTAGAAATACCTTTTAAAACTCGTCGAAATTACGAGTGAAGTTGTTATTTAATAAATTATTTGTTTTGTCTTGTACTAGAAGTATAAATCAAATTATTTTTAGAGCCAATATTTTAGACTTTGTTTATTGATTTAAGATTTATTGAACCTTAAGAAAACAAAAATAATAAAATGTTTGTTAAATTTCTGCTCCAAATTCTCATTAATATTTTTTTTTTGGTTATTGGTTGTTGCTAAAATGTCTTGAAAATTAATAAAGTAAATAGGTATACAGTAATAATATTATCTCAAGTAAAACATTTTGAGGGAGTTGGAGAACTTAACTCTCCCGAAATGTCTTATTCACTTCCCCTTTTTTGTTCCACTGACGGTGTAGTTTTAGAATAATAAGCTTGTATAAATAAATATAGTCCTTGCCTCTCTAAACGACTCTTGCTTCTAACAAGTTCTTTATTTGCAATATTTTACCGACAGTTTTCGCTGTAGTGAAAATGAATGGGGTGGAATTTTAATGAAATCACTAAATATATTATTATGTATATTTCAAAATGTTATTCATAACTTCGATATAATTAATCACAGATTTATTAAATGGGTTTTTAAATGAACTTTAAACGTACAACAAAACTCTGTGATAAACCTAAAAGCAACTATTTGATTTCAGATTCCATTCCAACGTCTCCTCCAGTGAAGGAATTTCAAATTTCTCTTAGCACAAACGATTGTGTCGTTAGTACTAGCTAAATTATCTTCCGGCTTGCCGATGAAACGGCTGCTTTCTTCCCAAATGCCAACTGATGAAATTTCATACAGCATACTTCATCTAGCCACAATTGGTTGTGCTTGGAGACATTTGACATTCCTTCCACCGGGGAACGGATAAGGGTTCTAGTTTAAATCATAATTTCCAGTGTATAACAGCATCAACCGTTATAAAACGGCAGTTTGTTAGTATTTCAAAAAAAAAAAAAAATTTACTTTTGTTACTCTGTATACCGAGGACTCGTGGTGGTATCTATGGTGCCTTTATTGTTATCGATCAAACCCGGGGCGGCGGTCTACACGACCAAGCATTTCATTATTCAAACGGTTGTCATCATCATGATCAAGGGCCTTACGATAGTGTAACCGCTGACCATTCGGTGTGTTGTTTAAGCCCGGCGATAGCCATGGAGGCGTTCAGACACGCCGTGGAACGTGTGATGGGCAAGCCGGCAGATCAGCTAGATTGCGCTTTAATGGCTTCTGTTCAAAGGCAACTGATGGAAGTAGCAGATGCCATAAACGGTATCCGGCCTCTTGCGGAGCTAACGGACGTCGAGAAACGGGAGTGCTCCAAAACTTCTTCCGTCAAACGCTATCCTGCCGAATGTGTCGTCTATGGTAGGCATTATACCGTTATTACTATACAACAAAATACTAGCTTATACTAATATGAGTACATTTTTTACAAAGTTATTTGTTTATTTTACACCCGCATGTCGGCCATATGGCGTATTCGGAACTTTTGACATGAACATAATATGTATGTGTCATTATAAAATACTTTGACATATTATATCCGTGTAGAATAGGTTTTTAAAAATGTCTTGTCAGTAATGTATTAAAAATGTATTAGTTTTTAGAAAGAAACGCAAAGCGTGTACCTAGGTAAAAAAAAAAACCAAACCTTCTCGGTTATCAAAGCTAAAAGGTTGATTTGGAAATTTTTCTTACAAAGAGTTGTCAACGTTTAGTCATGCTATACGACAAGGTGTAACGTTTATTATTTTTAAAGAAGGCCTAGTGATATAACTATCCGGATTTCAGAACACCAGATAATTCGAATTTATTTTTTCATTAACTATGTATAACATTTCATTGGATAGTAACAGTAGGAAAATTATTGATTGAGTACATATACCACAGAAAGTGTTAAGTTATGCAGTAAGCGGTTCAAATATTTTTTTTTATGAAAAATATAGTCGAAAGGTAGGTTACATAAATCAAGTTAACATTTGACTAGAACGATAACATCTGGTAGAGCTATGCAATGAGAGTTGGAATATAAAAATTTGTAAAATAGATTTTTTTTAAAATTATTAAGGACTTCGGCCGAGAAATTAAAAATTTAAATTTAAATTATCATATAGAAATTAGAGAATATGTGTTAAAAATATAGTACATATTTAATATGCAGTTATTATGACTGTATATTTTAATATCAATACTGTAAACTATTATTAATTTCTTTAATTATATATATATATTAGAGGTCCCTATTACATGTGTATTCGATTACACGTGACGTGGATCCCGTGTAATTAACATGCACGTGTATATACACGTGTAATTATAAATACACGTGTATTCAAAAAAAATTATTTTTGTTATTAATTTTAGTTTTACGTTTAATATCACGTTTATTTAATTATACGAACTCAAACACAAGTATAACTGGGTAAATACGTTAACTCAAACTAAAATTTTTGACAAAATAAATTTTTTTAAATATACGTGTATTTTAATTACACGTTTAAAATCACAGGCACTAATATATATATATTTTTTATAACTTTTTAGCATCAATTAATATTATTTATTCGGTTAAACGAGAATGTGGACTGTTACCTTATAAGGATATATATACACGTATATATTAATAATATACATACTTAATGTTCATGTACACTTATTTTGTGTAACGGTTATTGTAAACGTGAAGTATTCACAAAGGTACTTAGTAATTGTAAAACTCACCCGTTTCAAAAATTATTGTGTTAAATCAAGGGTAGGTAAAACAATTAATCATTGCGCCTTTATAATGTATTACATAGGTTGTTCATAATTTCACAAAGAGTGTACCTATTTTAACAGCATACTTTTATCTCTAGTGTTCGCTCTTTTAATGTTTTATAAACAGAACACAAAGTAATGAAGATTAATTTGGGAGAAAAATATTTTCGTTTTATCAGGTATCTTCCAAAAGACAATTTGTCACCCTGGTGACTCGCGTTGTTTCTACCATAAATCATTTTTAAGGCTGCATAGCGAGAGGGCGTTCAACCTAGTAGAATCTTTTTTCCGATAACCCATCAGGGTGTATTTTGTTTTCTTATAATATTTTTGTGAACGTATTTTATGAGGTGTTCATTACACCGAGTGCAATAATTGAAGTACTTATATTATTACTATTATTATCTTAGAAGGTTTCTTATCGCTAACAATATTGCTGTTGAAAAATAGTTTGGTTGATAATATCTTGGTCAAAACTAAAACTAAGTTGTTCAAAGCATAGTCGTTATTAATTTTATTTACTTTTTAAATGTAAAAAGTTTTCATTATGTCTTATTTATTTCATCAACGTTTTTATTATTACATCAATTAGGTATGAAGTAATTCCAAAAAAAATGTCTAGAATTCCTAATTTTGTAGAAAGCCGACTTTGGATAATATAATTAATATTTTCGGCTCTCCTTCGGCCGATTACAATCGGATATACTTAAATAACGAAGCGGTGTTAAATTTCTTTGCTTTTAACTAAACCATTTATCACATATACCGTAGAAGCTATAATAATTATAATAATAATATAATATACAATACACGCGTTTACCGATCCTAGTAAAACAGTAGTAATAATAAGAGTAAAATGATCCGGATTAAAATTTTTTCCTTAGAATTAAAAATGACTCGCCTAAGATCCGTGTACAGATATACAGGCTGAAATCGTAAAAATCCGCAATAAAACAAAGCAAATCCTTAGGTCGACGGGAAAAGGGTCAAGTGTGTTTATTTTTTCAGTCGTCGTGTCAAAATTACCCCTTCCAACTCGGCACGTACACGTTCTATTCGTTTATCCGTCACTGGACATTACTCGACTTTTATACAGTCTGTATAAAGTATAAAATAAGTATTTGTGATAAAACAATAATACGTTATAAAATATATTACTTTGAAAATAGTCTCATGAAGAGACCGTCCAGTGGCGGAACTCTTTTACTGACTTAAATTACAACTGCGTTTGTATTACATTTCTGAGTAAATTACTATTGCATACAAATCAAAACTGTTTTGTTCACCAGGACCGTTTTAGGCAGCGAGGAGTGTTATCAGGGATTGCGCGGGAGGACGGATTGACGAATAAATAAATAACAATTTTCCGAAACCGCTTAAAAATACAAAACAACAGTGGTCGCTTGTAATAAAGCACCGGGGCAAACCGAGACGGCCAATAAATAACGACCGTAAGCTGTGTGTAGGATCTTCGGGCAAGGCTGAACCACACCAACCAAAGTGGCCGTCGTGTCCTGCTGGGAAGTTAAGCAGATTGGTCCACCGGGACGTCTACCGGGAACAGCAAAAAAAAAAAAAAAGGACCCCGAATTTTTATAATTTCTAATTATAAAAAAATCACTCGGGTAGGTTTCCCACAAAATCCGGTCGATGGGTCGTTGTGCTTGTTCGCTTTTAGCTGGAATCCCAAATTTCTACTACGGTCATTATACAAGATAAACGGACGTGGTTGTGTTGTTATGTACAGGGTGGGGCAAAAGATATGCATCGGTTTTGAAGGGCTGTATAAAAAAAACTATTCAACTTAGAGAAATGAGATTTATATTGTTCGATTCAGTAGATAATTTAGTTTTTTACATAACGTTTTAAAGATTACATCACTAAAATGGCGACCGTCAGCAACGATGCACTCTGAAGGCGATTTCTGAAGTTTTCAACCGCTTGTCGGCACATTCGGATGGGTATAGCCATTATTTCCTCCCTAATTCTCTTCTTAAGTTCTTCCAGGTTGTGTGGACGATGTTTAAAAACTTTTTCCTTTAGGTATCCCCAAAGAAAAAAGACGAAAATAGTCAAATCTGGTGAGCGCGCAGGTCTGAAATTGAAACAAATGGTCCCCGAGCGCCCGATCTCTCTGAGGGGAGACGTGGGGAGGTTCGCGCGCTCATGGTCACTATTTTAGTGGTGTAAAATTTAAAACTTGATGTACGAAACTAGATTGTCTACTGAATCGAACAATATAAACTTCATTTTTCTAAGTTGAATAGTTTTTTTTATACAGCTCTTCAAAACCGATGCATATCTTTTGCCCCACCCTGTATATCTGGTCTCAAGTATCAGTAAATTGAGCACAATTTAACTCACGAAGAATTTTTTAGGGACATAACGATACATCACTCTTAAGTCTAAATCGTTGTAATTGAACAATTATATATGTAGGTATTTATTATATACTATTATATAAGATTATTATCTATTAGTAATAATAAAAGTATAAAAAATACAGCAAAGCGTATTCGTAGTCTCAGGCGTTAAACTTTGAATTATTTCAAATTTAAATTGACCATGATTTGCGATAAATTATTAAAATTGTACAAGTATAAATCATTGGCTACTTGTAAGCTGCAAAATACATTCAAGTTTTCCACAGTAGTATACATCTAAATATTAGCCACGCGCACTGTAATATAGTTTGTACCCATTAACAATTATACAGCACACCATACGGTACCACGAAGTTTCGATAGAATTAAACTTAAAACCAATTAATAACATCCGAGATAACATTACTGTAAATAGCGCATAGTACGGGTACCGAGCTTGTAGGTGTATGTATCTACTATATTTTTGTGAGTGTACATGTATACTACTAAATGTATACATAGCAATTAGATAAGTAGGTATTAACTCAAAATGATCGCTGTACAAAACACCCGCATTCCGCAACACCACAAATTGAACGGTCGATTTGTAACAATGAAAACATATTACACAACGTATAGCTAGTTAATTTGATTGAAGTCCCATCGCGCGGATTGTGCATTGTCGGTGAAAAATAATAGGTACAAACCCTCATTCGATTATGCAACCGAATGTTTTGACGTTAAGATAACCAACCAAATTTACCAACCAATTTATTTGTGTAAACTAATTAATAAAATAATTTTAAGCATACCAACTACATAATTAAACAAAATACAAACGTCCTTTCTATATAAAAAAAAAAGCAATTACATTTCTCTCGTTCGTTTACGGTAACCACCTTCACCCTGCTATCTTCAGAACAAATGAGAATTTCATATCAGACAACAATATTTATCAAAAAAAAAATTGTTTTAAATGTGTTAAACGATTGTTTAATTCTGACAAACAAATTTAGTGTAGCGGAAAAACTATTTTGTTTTTTTAGTTAGCGAGTAAAATTTGATTTTTATCCCGAACTTTATCTGGACTCTTGCTATAATTTAATCTTAAATACAATGTCAGTTAAAACAAAATTATATAAAAGCACAGCAAACGTGGATAAAAAACTGGTATAACAGTATGAAATTAATTTATATTGAAATACAAAAAAAAAAAATATTCCAAATATTATAAATAATATATAAAAATTATTATGCTTAAAATATTTTATACCCATTATTTTCTACTTAATATTATAATATTAATTTTATGTATAACCCTATGGCTGTTCAAAAGCTTCTATAGTTCTATAGTTGACATTGATACTAGTTTGTTTGCTGTATAGGTACTAGGAATTCAGATATATAAAATGGATTTGTTGACACTCAATACTCATTTTTAAATTGGAATTTTTAGGATTATCATTTAAAAAAAAATGTATTATATTGATATTGGCTTGATTTTAATGATTGTACAGCTTTTTTGTTTTGTATTATTTTTATTTTTACAAACTACACTTATTTTACAAACAGAGTGTGTAGTATAAATAAATCAATAGCGTCACATATTATTAGCGTTCAGAAAGAAAATCGCAGATAAAAGCACTGAGAAAGAAAACAAACTACCAATTTGTATTTTTAAAACGTATTGTTGATTTTAAATATCTTTTTTTATTTATCTAATCAGTGTATTACTCAATACTGAAAAGCTCTTAAAGTTGTACATTATGTATTTATATTTTATGTTTTTATATGATATTCTAATAATATATTAACATACTATCCAATATAGTAATAATTTTAGTTTAAAAGTAAATATTATCATTTATCAGTTATTTTAAACCAACAAAAATTACAGTTTATTTGTATTTTTGAGTAAATTTAAACTATTTTGTTAAACAAATAAACGGTAATTGATTTTATTAATTTTCCTTAAACCACTCGATTTGCATTGCCATATTACTTAACAGTCAATACATGACAAAGGCTTATACACAATGCAATTAAAGTACGGAACCTGTATAATAACTTATCTAAGTCTTCAATTAATACTGTCTAATTTATTATTCGAAATAACACACACACACATATATACATATATATTATATGTTGCCGGAGTTTGGAATTCGAACACTTCCAGGTAATTCTGTAATTAAAAATAATTACTGACTACAAACGGTAGGTATATAAGCAAATTCGCTGTTCAATGCATAATTATTATTGTAACACCGAAAGTTTGGTAGTTAATGGGTGAACAAAAGTTCGAAAACTACCATTAAATAATAAATATTTTGTAGAGTGAACATCAAGGAATCGGTTGTACTGTATTGTTTATTATTATCATGTTATAATATTTACTCACGAATTCGTATTAAGTAAAAAGTTTTATTTATTTACATGCATTAGGTTAGTAGCATTGTTTAGTTAAAGCTTTACGGTATTAATAAACTAAATACAATTTAACCAAACTTCAATTCTTATAAACATGAAACCTTTCCTACTTGTAAATGAACCCTCACGAAACCGAGACACATAATATTATATAAGAAATATTAAAAAAAAAATGATATATTATAGTTGAATAGCGCAACCTAACATATTGGAGTAATGCTATTTGTATGGTGACATTTGGACACAGCGTTGGTGTTCACATCGTGTGACAACATCACAAATTTGAATCATTCATCAAATTCGATTTATGAGCAAGATAACTACATAATTCTATTCAACAATGTTCGAGTGTAGTTTTAGGACTTAAGGTGTGAAAACCTTTCTTTAGTAAATTCCTTGAATGCTACGTTTTCAAAAAATTTAAATCACTATATTATGATAAAACGTTTATTTTGTATGAAGTTATTTCTTCATTGAATGGAATACCGTATATACCTAAGGCATAGTATTATCAATCGGTCGATATACAAAATAAATATCAAAAACTCTTTTTCCTAGATAGGAATTGTACTGGCTTTTTTGTAGATGATACTTCATTGTAATCTAACCTAATATTACCTACCTAAACTAAGGCTCTATCACTAATCCAAGCGATTGCAACCAATCCACCTATGATAACACCTATGACGGTTACAGACGAAGACCGAGACTTCAGTTTGGTGCCAGGTGATGCTTACTTCTTGCTCGAAGGCCAGTGCTTGGGTGTGCAGCGGTTGCGAGTGCGAAAACGTTTGGTGGCCGGTCACGACCGCTATGCTCTGGTCCAGGATGTTGGCGAAAGAGACGGACCGCAATGTCAAACGGTCTATGTTAAGACTTCAGAACTTCGGCCTGGATCGGTGTTTTGCATAGGTAACAGCCGACATGAAGTAATGTCACTGAGAAAGGACCGGGCTCGCAAACAAAGTATAGTGATTACTGTTATTTGAGTATTGTAGGTGAACGGTCCGAAGGCGGTCGATTGGTGTTGAGCATAACCGAAGTTAAGTACCTTCTGGTGCCGTTTGCTTTTTTGGCCAAACACAATACGGCTAACGTGTGGGGACGAACGGCGTGTTCGTTAGATTCAAGTGCACTCACCGTCCGAGAGTCATTTCGCAAATTTGTCGTTTCCAAAAAATGGGAAGAGTACAAGAAATCGACGGTAGAAGCGGTTGTGCTAAAATGGAAAACCGAAAAGTAATATCCAATTGTTATTATTATATGGGTCATGAGACAGAGAACAACAGTAATACATTATATATTATACATATAATTATACGTTGAGGGTTATCAAAATGTAAAGAGATTTTTATAATTTTGCCAGTTACCTTAATTGAAACTAATCGTTTCTAAGCACAATAATAGTGCTGCCTAAGCAGACCAATAGAACAAAACAAAACAAATGAACGCGTTGACTCTACACACACACGTTTGTGTTGTAGATGTATTCAGACCTGGGACATTTTTTTATACAACAAACGAATATTCAAACCATTTGGATTGATAATAATTTATTTCATAAAATTCAACACAAACAGCTGTTTAGTTTAACAATATCCAAACATTTTTTTTTTAGTTTATTATAATGGACATCCATAATTTAATGTGTATATATATATATATATATATTACATCACATAATATATTAATAGATAACTTACACTCATTATGTAATAAATATTATATGTTTTAAATACATTTTTTTTTATGAAATTAACATTAATGAATAGATATCATATTATAATAATTAAGTAAACCTGCATAAATAGCGTGAATTAATTATTTGATATAATATTATTATAAATACATTTATACATTATTTTAGTATAATAATCAGTTATCTTATTATACGCTAGCAAATTTTAATAATAATCAACACATTAGTTTTTTTTTCTCATGGTACAACAGGTGATTTGACCCAGGATGAGCTTGTACATGCGTTTGTGATCGGTCATTTTATAGGTTTTTTATGTGATCATATTATACAAATGAGTTTTGGACATAGCAAAAGGATTTGGGGTGTAAAGAAAAAACAACAAAAGGTGATTTATCAATTTTTACCATGATTGTATGTAAATTAGCAACAGTTATTACCTCAGCTTAGTTAACTGAATTATGTCATCTCGGCGTCAATCGAATCTATTTTTTTTATTAGCTATATTTGATCACCACATGTATACTCTAGTTATTTTATTTGATTTGATAAAGAATTTGTATTAGTAAAACTGAAAATTGGTTCAAAATTGATGAAAAATAACCGCCAAAAAGTATGCACTTGCAAGTGGCTAACACTTGTCACACTAGCTGTGGCGGCATCAAAACAAACATAATATCACTTAAAATTAAATTAAAAAAAAAAATGTTAACCATTATTTTATAAAAAAAAAAAATCATAAGAACCAATATTTATTATATTAACGAGCGTTAACATCAAAATTATGGAACTATAAGAACCTTTTTTCTTATCCATTTTGAACTAATTGAGGGAGAGAACCGATTGAAATTCCTTCAAAACCAAATAGTTCTTATACATGTATTATAGTATATTAATTCTTTGTTTCCGTTACAAGAAACTAACATAAGATATAGTATTATTTGTAGTATAGTGTATTATGTTATTATTTTATAATAATATAATATATATATATATATATATAATAACTAATATTGCCTAACAAAAACAACATGAACAAAATGCAATATTTTTTAGAGACGCAATATTTACATGTCGTACTTACTTTTTTTTTATCTTACAATATAACATTAATGTGACGAGACAACTGTATAATATAATATATGTATTATTATAATTAACTATAAATAATATAACTTATTTTAGCTTCGTATCGAAACTAAAATATTTTATTGTTGCATCTGGAAAAAAAAAGATTTTACCTAATTTTTTTGACCTTCAATTAGAATAATTACTCACACTTAAATCATAAACGCGCATCAAAAAAAATTGTTTCAAAATATTTTAAAAAAAATTTTGATAAAAATTCATTGTTATAAAAATATTGTTAAAAATTAAAATGGTTTTTTTTAACATGTTACATTGATTGAAGCAGAGTTTCAATGGTTACAAATTATACTTATGAAATGTTGGTTGAATATTGTAGAAATTTTTTCAATTATAATTATAATTCAATTTTTTTTTTATTGTATTAGAATTGCATTTTTTTTTATAAATTCATATTTATAAAATGTTACGGCTCGAGTTGTTTTTTCTTGATAATTTTAAAGCCTTATGGACATATAATAATTTCTCAGTTGCTTTATAAAATAATATTATTATTATTGTAGTGTATATAGGTAGAGCCACTGGCAGTCTTGTTCCAGGAATGCAAAGTATTTTTTTTTTTTTTTTAATTATCTTATATTCTCACTGCAGTAAAAACATTTCTAAAATAAATCTGATTCTTATGTGGTATTACACATACTTAATGGATAAAAAGATGTTATAAATCCTGGCTCTAACTCTACTACTGGAAACGATCAATATTATGCATAATATGTAATATAAAATAATTGATTAAACATAACTCAACATAACAATCTATATCATTAAATACGATTATTATATAAAAATCGACTTAAAATATTTTATAACAATATGATGATTGGGACGTTAATTTATATGTTTTATTAATGGTCCTTTTTTGTATTTAACAAAAAAATTACTAGTTTTAAATTGAAATAATAAAATAAAAAACAAAATATTATATTATTGAAATAAAATCGTCGATAAGGTGCTAGAACAATGAATATCGACAATTTTTGTTTTTTTTTTTACTTGTACCCTGTACCACCGCGCTGTATAAATAGATACGTCTTGTCTTTCATACTTAAAAATAACGTTCTACTTGAGAAATTAAAATATGAAACTAAAACAGCGAGACTTTAAAGTGCCGTGACATCTGAATCGAGAAGAAACAAATATGTATTTTTGGGCGAATTTCTGGCCAAAGAACAATTTGGAGGGATACATTTTTTCCAAATTACACTATCACCATATACCCGTGTCACGGGACTTTAGGGACATATACAATGTATATAGTCTAGAATAATATGTTGTAACTGTTCAGGATATTTTTTTTTTTTTTATTGGAGGCAAAACACAATGGTACGTATTGAAACGTCAATTTTGTCGGTTTAACGCGTTTAAGGATAAAGCGATTTCGTTTTAAATGTAATAAAAAACACATATTTCAATAATAATAGAATAAATCGTCGAGGGATGTCAAAATCGGTTTGTGTACAAAAACATATAATAAAAAACCAATAAATCTGATCGGGACGTCATTGGATGGTATAGAATTATTTGTTGTTTGTTTTATTGGTCTTACGGTAACGATTCTTCTTCGAAAATTTGGCCAACCAAACACTAATCGACAACTACAGCTGTATATTTGCAAAGGTTCGCGATTACATTGAGATCATTGCGCGCGTTATGTTCTCGTCACTTTTGCAACTCTCCATGAACTCTTCGAACGATACCACGCCGTCACGGTTCAGATCCATTTTCTGTAAAAAAAAAAAAAAAGTAAATAAAAAGTAAGTTGTGAAATGGTAAAAAGTGTGGTAAAAATATTGTTTACAAATGAAACTTTACAACTTATGCAAGAGGAACATAAAATCATAGTAGTATGTGTGACTGAATGTCAGAGGCACTTTTAAAATAATCCCCTATTTTTACGCTTTTGATAATATATATTATACATAATGTAATAACATTAGTGTACATTCCGTGCGGTAAAGTATAAAAATATATCAACATATCATGAAATTGTATTAAAAATAATTTGTTGAGATAAGAACTTAAAAACCGTTGCCAAATCATTGGCACAGAACTACCTAAAGACAAAAAAACATTTCTTATCGGGGTCAAAACGAATAAGGTAAATTCGACCGATAACAGAAAAATAAGTTGTAACTTTTATAATTATTAAGTTAGAATCTTGCAACTCAAATTTTTATCAGTTCATCCCGGTAAAATTTTAGGAAAAAAATCGACCCTAATCGTACGTCTCTAACACTCAAAATATAATTTTAAGCACATTATAGCTTTTAAAATGCTTTTATCGCTTATTTATTTTATCACTTTTATTTATAATTATACCTGTATAACTGGGACCATGCCAGCTCCAATATACTCCAACAATCTACTATATCCGACCGCACTTTACCGACTTTTTTTTTATAAATTATTTTTGTGAGAAATAAGGTATAAAATAATATTATTATTTTATTATTTTAATTAAAGTGACATAACCTAAATTAATACACAGCGAAATAAATATATATTATTATTTAATTATTTCACTATTTGTTGTGTTTGGTTTATACTATTAATGCTTAATATAATCCGACTATATATATTATAATTTTAGGTATAATCAGATTTTGAAGGAAACATTGTAAATATTAAAAAATGTATTACATTATTTAAGTTATTGTAGCGATGATAAGAAATAAACATAGATTGGAAGACATTGTTTAAGTAGCGTAATTATATAATCGGATGTCATGCGCAATACCGTTGATGTGGCTTAAATTTTACATTGATGTTCTTCTCGCATATTTATCATTCTAAAAAAAACACTATTGTGTGTGTAATAACTCTACAGTAATACTAAATTACTTCTTACCCCGAGTGTCATGTCTCGAACACGCCCTTAAGGGGTTTTCCTTTCTAAAATTAAATTCTTGGCTTGTTCCCATTATTTTACAGCAATCTACGGCTTCCCTTTTATAAAACTCGTGTTCTCGAAAATTTTAATCATAGGCGAAATAATATATTATTTTTACTTTTCTCAATAATAATATTATATTCTGTCCACGTCCAAGCAAACGCGCCAGCCATTCAAAATAGAGTAGTCAGTAGGTACATAGTTTATTGTATACTAATAACGGTAAAGTATCTGGTAAATAAATCCCACGAACCCAAACTTCTCCTCCTACAAAGTAAGTCGGGTATTCACCCGTTTAAAACCACGGACGTCGCCGCACTTGTATAGCACACACTACGCACAACATTGTTTAGCCACTAACTTCAAATTAATCATGTTAATCTCTTTTCAATAACCGTTGTACAATATGCGCAGATATTAGGTGTATTATATTGTTGTGGTATGAATTCCTCCGCGTCTGTACGAAATCGTTTCCCCGCTAAAATCCAAAAGCTTAAGTTGTCGAGTGTACGTGCTGCTCTTGAGTCGACCTCCCCTCTTCCTATTCCCCAAAAATAGTTATAACACTAACAGCAATCAATCCTTTTCCGCCGTCAGCGCACGATGTGAGCCGAAACATATTCCTATTATATTAAGTTTAACTACTGCCCTACAAGTTAACGTATCTCCGTTATCTACGGTCTTGGAAAACTTTGTAGTAGTTGTTACCGACACTACAATAAAATTATTATATAAAATTCAGGTTTGCGCTTAATCATTAAGTTATTTTTATTATAGTAGGTATAAAGTTATGCATCATTTTTAAAAAAAAGTTCTTTTGAATTAACAGTATTAAAGTGCACACGGCACACTTGCCGTGTGCACAATCTACTGTTTAAAACAGTTTTTTTTAATAAAAATGGTTCCGAATGAATTTTACACTCTGTGTCTGTTATCCAAGACTCGAGGGTTGTTTTGTTAAGAGAGGTTTCTCACTCTAATATATGGTTTTCAGTCCTACAGAAAATTACACAGGCAAACACACACGCGCTGTGACGTTTATATTATATTAAATATTAGTACACGGTAGAGAGACAGTGTGATTTATTATACCGGCAAATTGGTGTAATGCGAAAATAAAGCAAAGCAAAAAAAAAATTCAATTACACAGGTAAGACGACGACGTTCTCACACGGTTATTAAATACCTAAACGATATCGTACACATTATAGTATAACACTTAACCGCTGTCGTGTGTGGCCAAATCGATTTGGTAGCCAAAAGTTACGATGGATTTGATTGCAACAATGATAATGATTTAACAAATAATTATCTTACAACTACTCGAGTAATAAATTATATAAATCGTCTTACGACAAACTTGAATTGTTTCGTTAAAAATAGTTTGCTCAGTTTAGATCCAATTAATTACTACTGTAATTACATTTCCCACTGCTATGGTAATAACGTTGAAAAATGTCGACCAGAAGTTCGCATTACTGCAATATGTGTCTCTCGCTCTCATTTTAGTTTTTTTTTTTAAAGGCAATTAAACAACAAATTGTTTATTAAAAACAAATTGGACTTCTGTTACACAATAGAAAAAAACTAAAACCAAATATTGTACCTATGCTCGTCCCAAAGTAAAATCCTGATGATTAAAAATCGAGCCTGTTGTGAATGCCTTTGAAAAGGACCCAACATTATCAAATGACAGCCCAATTAAGCGACCGTTTTCGTTCAATATATAAATATTGAATATACTTTATCATGACCAGGTTTTTTTTTTTGCAGGTAAAAATCCAATATGTTACTACTTACCCCTTCTGATTCAATACTAACATGTCCAATTATGATAACAAGGTATATTTTAACTGGCTACATATTCTACATGACATGATTATTACATTAAATTAATTGCATGATTATTATATTATAACGTGTGTGCGTTTTAATACGACACAAATGCTTACAACAGTTAAGTGTACAGTGTAAGTAATATACATGCTGTCTTGGGTCTAAGAAGACCGATATTTTTTTTCATAAATTTTTTACTAGAAAACTTTTCAAAACTTTTGTAATGTCAAGGTGTAGTATATATTTTTTTCTACTGTTGTAAATAATTGTGTATTTGTATCTTTATATGCCTAGATTGCTGTTTTGGTAAATATCTATAAAATTAATTTTATTTCATTTTAAAAATGTCCGCTATGAATTATATTTTCAAATGTATTGGTTTCAACTATGTAATATAATAAAAAACAGCGATAGTAATTTAATTTCTTTAAAGTGTAAACTAAATACAATAGTGTTGAATATATATAAAAACATATTATATTATTGCTATACCTATTGTGTTGAGAATAACGGAGCAATCGACACGGAAGTTAACATATGAAAACAATACATTTTTGCGCTGCGAAAAATGTATCATATAATAATAATCGGAGCTTTGTTCTGGAAAAATAATAATATAAAACCAAAAACATCTGACATGTGTAGAATATTGACGGGCTTGTTGTTGGTTACTCTCCAATATTATGTCATGTTTTGGTGCCAAAGTAAAAAAAAATATGTTAGTGGCCGTATAGCCTATACGGTTTATACATATAACGCATAAGTAATGGGGTTTTTTTCTTCGTTTGTGTACAATGTAGGGTTTCCTGTTTTTTAGAGTTTAGTTGCATGCTGCAAACGTTATAAAATTTATCTACATTTAAAACATTTTACATAGGTACTATAATATTATATTATGTTCTACAATGCACACTTTTTGAATACAAAAAAAACAAGTTTTCTTAAATTTTAAGCGGTAAAAGTACGAAATTTTTAGTTTATTGGTTGATGTATTTAACGACCTGAGTCGTATTAGATGGTTGTGAAGTCCAGAGATCAAAAGCACACATTTTCCACTACAATATAATAAATGGCTATATGAAATATATGAAAAAATATAAGCACTTAACGTGACTGGTTAAAGTCAGGTACTCTTGCAAATCGTTACATTCAACAATCAAATATTTTATTAAACTAATATGTTGTAAAGCCCCTCAAATTCCATTGAACGATGGACTTCTACTGAAGTCTTTGGAAAAAAAAAATTTTTACTAGAGACCTACTGCTTTCGTATAGTAGTATTAAATACTTTTTTTACCATAATTAACGATATGGTAAAGCATATTTAAACAAAATTATTATGAACAATACGCGTATAGTGTGATATGATGCGATTTAAAAGTTCTATCGTGACCGGAAATGGACATAAAAGCCCTCATAATTTATTTATAAAAGAAAAATTTGCACGCACCGCCTTAAATATATTTTTAACTTACTGTACATTTATTGTAATGCAATGGTAATTTATTGAAATATTCATTGGCGTCATTATAATATACTACAAACACGCATTTTATTTTACAAATGAAAAAATTGAACGTTAAAAGGAAATATGGCCAGCAATACCATATACCGGCAATACCGCTCTATAGTCGTGGATATATGTTTTTTATAGCCACATTTACACAGCCTATTGCAGTAATTGTTTTTTAAATTATTATTTAAAAATAAAAATGTTATTTGGTGCGAAACGTTTTTAATAATTAAATAAGTTTATTTACTGGTATTTGCAATATTATATGGATCTTAAGTTTAATGGCCTCTGATAATGTTATTTTAACGATTATTTCAGATTAGTTGACGAAACGAGACTAACAGATTACAAGGCTGTTAACAAGACTTGGCCGGCTTAACGGTTGCGTGTGCTTCCTGCGGGATGGAAGTGTCAAAGTGTAATGCCTAACCTTGTCTCTTTGATATTTCCACACAAAGAAAAGCGGATTTTCGTGGCTGTCAGCTTGTTCAACGTTTACACACACACTTGTAAACCACCGAGGGCTGCCAATTATCGATACCGCCGCTTTTGTCATCAGCTTTTTCTTCTATAGCAAAGCAAAATTCGTCGGACGGATTAATCTAAACCACCGTGTATTGAACATATCTTTATAGCAAAGCACATCGGTCTTGTTCAGCAATATATACTCGGCAAACAGTACATATAGTAAAAAAATCTGTCAACAAGTTTATCTATTATAATAGCTGTTGTCTGCCGTTCTGTGTAGTACTATTATTTGCAACAACAATACAATATCAATATCGGTTGACAATATCTGCAACGTCTCAATGTGCAAAACATAATAAGCTGCAATAGAGTTACGATCCGTTGCATATTCTTCAAGTGTATTTCCCCTTCGAGAGCCTTCCCCTACTCTTCCTTCTCGTAGCAGTCTACAGAATGTAATGACTGACCTGTTGATAATAATATAATGCCGTGATTACAATCACCGAGTTGCACTAATCTCGGTTTGGCGGCGCCGCCCATCTTCAGAACAATATAAATCTAACGATTCAAATTTCAATAGCAAATTTCATAACGATCAACACTATATTATTATATTTACACAGTCGCTATCATTTCTGTAGAAGTAAAAAAAGTTCAACATCTTGAAAAATGTAATACACAATTACTGACAGTTCAGAGAAAAGTAATGATATAGTTGGACAATTTAAGTGACATTGTTATTAACCTGATATTCTTTTTACTGTATATTTTATCCACAAAAATAAATTTGTCTAAATTTCCAAAACTTAATAAGTAAATTAATTAGGTTACTTTATGTGGTTGTTTATTAGATAGTTTTGGCTTAATCAGATTATTTCAAGGCTTTGCACCCGTTTAGCTAAACCCTTAAAAAAACGTTATGAGTTTTATGGAGTTAAACCAGCTAAACCCAAAACACGAATTAATTCAGTTTTTAACCTAAAACCTGTATTCTAAAAAGAAAGATATTTTGGGCGACATCAATTCTTTTTTATATTTCAAGGAGAATTTAGTTTACAATTTATTTAGTTATAATAACTAATTTTTTATTATTTTATGCAATATGCGTTTTAAAAACCGGCAAGTTTCGTTTTTTAGTCCTTCAAGGCTTCATCTTGTTCAGGGACTGAAAACTGAAGAGAACAAAAGTGTTTATTTTATTTAAAACTATAATTTATTGGTATTATTTTAATTTATAAGTTGTTGATGGTATTATTTAAATATAATCAAACTATTTTTTATTTATTCATATTTCGTTGTCTTATATTCTACTTGATTAATTAAAATTTTTTATTTTATATACTCTACTTAATTAAATTTGGTACTTTACGAATTAAATAAAACAGCCTAAACAAATATATGGGCTAAACGAAACCCATGCTTTTTTTCAATAGAAAAAACCACAACCAGTAGTTTTTCTTTTTAAGCACCCGAATCCGTAACATAATTAAATCAGTCGGGTTCAAAGCATTGAACATTTTTGTACTTGGACATTTTTACCGAACTCCAAATAAAATACGGGTTTTCAGAAACGTCTAGTGCCACCACATCATAAATTACTTAGAACAATAATGTTAACATGCTACAAAAATTACAAACCGTATTAGTGTTCGAAATTAACAATTGACAGAACGATGAGCATGCTTGACGACGAGTCATCCAAAGTTTATGTAATTATAATACTGACAAACGTTCAAATTAATGGGAAAAACCATCCTAACCACGTTCGTCATAATACACGTGCGAGTTTACAAGAGTGTGTAAACAGTTTGGCACAATGTACATGGTATAACAACTATCCTAAACTGAACCGTGCAGTAGAAACATGTTTATTTCTAACAAGGAGGAGGTGGTGCTCGGGCAAACTTCAAACCACGAAACAAAACATATGATTGTCAACAAAACTCGGCCGGCAAGGGAAATAGATATAATATAAAAAATACTATGCGCAAGACAACTTTACATATAGAAAAAATTATTTAAATTAAAAATAACACCTCTAAACTAATAAAAATTAACCAGTAAATTCATTGACATGGTCGAAATTTAATAAAACCTCTTTTTTTCTCATCAAATATTGCCTATCCAAAACTTCTTAAAAACCTCTTGAGGGTAAAATTAATTTTTCTAAAAAAAAAAAATGCATTTGACTTCCGGCCTGGTATAATACGAATACAAACATTGTTTCAGCTTACGACGTAAGTAGACCTATAAGGTAACTTAATCTATACTACGTTCGCCGATCACATTTGCGGTATTCGCTATAATATATTATAGTACTTGAATTTTGGGGTCGACTTCGGACACAGACGTGTATATTATAGGTACGTTTTGTGGAGTATGTTTTGGGGTTGACGAGCCGCCTCTAAAACTCACACATCCATCTTGCCGTTGTTTTTCGTGGGTAGACACCGCGAATTTCCAAGCTTATGTGTACAGCTTATGGTATACGCGCGTTTAATCACGTCGTCCGAGGTCGTTATGGCGGCATAAAAATACCTTATCTCGGCCTATATTGTACAATAGTTTTTTTTTTGTAACCGGGGCGTTCACCCCGGCCGGAACCGATTATGGCAACATTGCATAGCTCAGCCGCCGGCCCGGCCCGGTAAAGTATAAGAAAAAAAAAATAGTCTAAGATGGAAAATATATACAGGAAATGACGATATTTATCGACTAACTCACCTGGAACACAAAGTCCACGTGAGCCGCTACCGCCGTCCCGTCCCTGAGCCACGGTTCGGCCAATTTACCCATCAGCTCGTACACGGCCGTCACCACTCGGGTCATCTCGTCCCGACATATGTGCCCATCGCCGTCCAGGTCGTACAGGTTAAAGGCCCACCGAAGTTTCTCGTCCACCGAACCCCTGGACAGCGTCCACAGTCCCTGTACCATGTCCTGGAATAAAAAAACGTCGTCTTATCGTGAGAAACAAAACATTAGAATAAAAAAAACCAAAAAACAGGGCCGTCTCAGGCTACGTGGGGGCTCTTAGGCACACTGGGTTTGGGTAAAATATCAGTAAAAAAAAAAAAAAAACCAGCGCAGTTGAGGGGGGGGGGGCATATTATAGTTGGCAAGGATCCAGGAGTTATCATTACCTATAAATGAAAGTGATAAAATTAATTTCCAATAAACGCTTCAAGACGGTAGACGGTAAATATATTAAATACCGATAAAAAACATTGCAAAGGCAATGTTATGGTACGGTTGGATACGATAATATTATCCAATTACCCTACACCACTCCATAAATTTATTTTCACAAGAAATAAAAGTGGTGCCAAGCAACCTTAATGTATGGTTAATCGAACAAACGATGTTCAGAATATTTATCGGCACAATAATAGTCAATTAAAAAGTATATAAAAATGGAAATAGTTATTAAAACTTGAACAGACTGATACGGCGTGTTGGGTATGCAAAATAAGGGCATGCGTGTTTTATAAAAATTGTTTATGAATTTAAACTGTTAAATTTTTAAAAAGGTATTTGTCTTATTTTTTTGTTAAAATATTTTATTCTATTTTTATATAGTTTAAACAAAACAATTTATGTCGTTTATAATCCATCAAATTATTAATAGGAACTACAATTTTCTTACGAGATATTAATTAAATAATTATATTTTTTACTGATATACTCTAATAATATGTTTCTTTTGATTATTTAAATATTTTTATTTTTAATTAATATTAATATCGAAATATTGTTATAATTTATCATATTTGTGTCTAAAATTTACATAATGCAGTTTTTGGTCAAAACATTATTAAAGCTAAAGACAATACTTCATTATTGCTGCCTAATATATATATAAAAATATTTTAAAAATCGTAAACATTTCAAAAGGTAAATTAGACTTCAACAAAAATAGTCATAACTTCTAAAAGTTTTAAGCTAGAGAGCTGACATTTTATTAAACACTTATTCAATTCAGCCAAATACATAAACTTTGTAAATTCCAGACGTCTATATGCTCAATAGATCATGGGAAAAATAAAACATTCCTGTAAACATCCAATATCAATAGTATAAGTATAGAATCAAGCTATAGCATATTATATTAAATAATGAAAATTAATAGTGGATACAGGGAAACGTGACATTTGCACACAGGTAATTGCTATTATAAATGGCTGCTGATTGTCATGAAAGTGTATAATAAATTAAACATGTATTGTGTAAAACTACTAACTAAAGACCGTCGGAAATCATTTAATTATTAATTTGAAATCGCATAGATATTTTTGTTATGGTCCAGTAAGGTTGTTATTATTAAAAATAACTCTACATAAAGACTTCATTAAAAAAAAGCTCACACAGCAAAATAATATGTGTATTTTGTACACTATAAAATAGACTTGAAAATTTAAAAAATGAGTTTATTTAAAAAAAAAATGTATTGCTAATTAGAAAAGAGAATATTTTGGTTTTTTTTAGTATAAATAAAAAAACGCGTGGAAATGTAACTCACACATTTTTTTTTTATTGTTGAAATATGATTACCTATAGCTTGACCGCTAATATTTGAAGGGTACAGAGTAAAAACCAGCAAAGTCACTTTTTAAAAATGGCAATTTTTTGTTATAAAATTCGTTTTGATACAAAACGAATCTGTTCTTTACTTTTAAGCACGATTATAAACAATAATATACAACATTTTTAAAAGTTTTACGTATTTCTTTAACATTCCAAACATATTTTAGCAATACCTAAACATGTTTTTCTTAGATTAAAAAAAAGTGACTTTCCTGGTTTTTTCCCTGTACCCTTAGACAAGTGCGCATTAAAATTATCCATTGACCACTAAAAACCAATAGTTATTCACAAAAAAAAAAATATATTAGATGTTTTTTTTTAACATCAAGTCTTTACAGTGACCGTAAATAATAATAAGAACAATCAATAAGTCAAATAGTTAAGTTAGTCGACTACATTGTAAATAGTATACTACATAGTAAATTACAGGAAATAATCGGAACATTTTGTAATGTTTTTTGTCTTACAAAAGATATATATTATAGTTGAAATAGAGGGATGGGGTGTATATAAAGTTGACTAGCTTTAGAAAAATACCCACAGGAAACACACTAGGGAAATAACCGAGAATATCCTTAAAACCTAGTAACCGCTAGCTTTTTCATTAAAATTTGATGTCAACGTAGCTATATTTTCTCAATAAAAAAAACCTATGTAGCAGATTACATTGAAGAGTGTGTTGATGTGGAAAAATTAAACAAATAATATTGTTAATACATCAAAATTAAATAAAGCAAACAAATTGTTTAACTGGATACAGAATATTTTTCTAGCGGGAAAACTTTTTTGCATTACATAATACTAATATTATACTTGTATAGTTGCTTTTTTTAATTAGCACATATGTTACTAGTTTAAACAGGTTGTATAAGTCACATAAATTATACTATTTTGTTGTAATAGATCATACATTTTATAAAAATATAAGCTAGTTTTTCTTACTTCTTATTTTTCAAATTAAGAATTTTATACGAAATTCTTCGGAAATATATCATTTTTTTCTTATTTAGTTCAAGTAAAACTTATTCAATTATGTGAATTATGATTTATTATTTTATTTGTAATAGCCGCTTATTTATAGCTTATTAATAGCCTAATTTGTATTTCAGAAAATTATTACATTTTTTTTGGCTTATTACTACTTTTTCCAAAATATAATAAAATAATATTAAGAAGAAGTTAAACGAAAGTTCAAGCTTTCTTTTTAAACGCTTACAATGTATGAAGACTGAATTTATCAAGTATTTTAGGAGCAACAAATTAAAACTAAGTTTCATAACTTAATTTGTAACTCGTAAATTACCGGAAACATGTTGGCATATCGTTTAAAAACTTAACTTGTTTCTAATTATAAAGTTACATTTTTGACTTTATTCCACTTAAAACTGACAAATTTTGTCCTCATGTTATATTCTCATCTATATCAATACTTATAACAAAATTACTAGCACAAGTACGCATATTTTAATGTATACTTTTTTAGTATAAAATAAACTTGCAATACCACTGCTGGCGGTAGTTGTTTTATGAAATGTATTTAATCATAGTCAATTTTCCGGAAAAAGTAGCCAAGTACACCATATTTTTGTGTGTTCCCGGACAAATTGATTTATGAATCGAGTTGTGGAAAAAGATCAAGATCCACGTCACAGTAGAGTTTTTACAATACCTAAGACGCCAAAGCAAGTGGAGTTGCGAAACTTTGAATTGCAATACTGAACATTTCACTATTATCGTTTCTCCACGAAGCCCTTCAACTTGAAATCTCGTTGAATGCCTAAACTTCGACGGATACAGATTCAGCTTTTCTACAGAATTCTTTTGATAATGTTTCCGATGAACCCCGTTGTTGTAAAACTAAATTAACTTCTAACCAGCAATGCCCGGTACTTGAAAAGTTTGAGAACGACGTTCGACAGATTTTCGCTTGTGTTAATATAATTTGGGGGAAAAAAAACTTAGTGGAAATTACGGCTTTAATCTCAAACGCATTGGTCTTCTCGCGTTCGAGATGTCAGATTTAGTCGGAACCACCAAGTTCTTTGTTTTTAACACAAATCAAACATTGAAGAAAAAACGATTGAGTAAAAAGTTTTATAAAAAAAAAAAATTACTATATCCGTACTAAGTCCAATGGTTTGCTAATTTTACAACAAAAACTGCGCCAAACCTATTTTAAGCTCGAAAACAGTTCTCAATTGAAATCATAGATGTGATTAAGTGACACACGACTGAGATCTGCCGTGGATCAAAAGACAATATCACATGTTGCCTTGGATACATCACGGACTTACTAAATTGTTTTCCAGCATAGGTATGAGTGCAATGCATTGCCGTATAATTTTCACATTAGTACACCAGTAATAGCAGTTATTCTGTTGTAGGCAAGGTGTTGTTATAATGTACTTGTACGTTTTTCTAATATTTTACCACACCTGACAGAGAGGCACGTCGCGTGGATCCAAGCCGGACATAATTGAAATCGTATTAACCCTTAATGGCATGTGTAATACCCACACGGTAAGGCGTACGCGATCTGTGTACGAGAAACGTTGAGAAATCATAAAGATGCTAACAAGTGCCGTTATATACAATAAAATACTACTGTTTCTATTTCTGTTTTTTTATTTTTATTGTTGTCCATACAGTTGAAAAAATCATCTCGTGTGGAAAGTCATTATAGTATAATATATTTAAAATCATGTAGTTTAAAATTTGTTAACATGTTGGTTAAAATTTTTTAAATAATATTCGAATACGTAATAATATAAACATTGAGTAATATCTTAAATACTTTGGTAAATTTTTAAATTGACAGTATTAATTTCAGTGGGTATACTACTTTAAGAAAGTATCGCTAAGAGAACTAAAAATATCCATAATATTTGAAACATAAAAAAAACTGTTTGCTGTTAAACACAAACGCAAAACCTTTTTCATTAAAAACATTTGATATATAGTATAATTTATTTTGTATTTTCTTCCCTTTCAAAAATAAGATATAAAAACAAAGTAATCCAGAAATTCAGAACGTTCCCACGAATCCAAAATAATTTATTTGGAAAATAATACACCACTGAATAAGAAAAAAAAAATTGAATGAATAAAAAAAAGTAATTGGAAAAGAATTGCACTTTTGGCACTTTTAATTATAACTCTTAATCTAATTATTATGACTAATTCCAAAACGATTTTTGAAATCATTAGGCTTTACAGCGTTGATTTGTTCCTATTGAAATACAAACTTGTTGGTATCACCCCACAAAATGTTTTGCGGTCAAAAAAACAGTTTTCATAAAATTGGCGCCCTTTCTTTTACAAGCGGTTCAAATGCAGTTAGTATTAGGTATTACTAC